TCTGTTGATAAGTTTCTAATACCAGATGAATTTGGTGTTTTTAGGGACCCATAGGGTAATGCACGAGCATTGGATGGGAGGATTCTACAAGTGTCCAAAGAAGACATAGCAGATATCCTTCAGATGGCCAATGACCAGAGAATCTCTTTCAGCAACAACTTGGTGTGATGTAGCAGCAATCGACCTACACAGACGCACCACCGCCGATCGTCCGGAGTACCTCTCCATCGAGTGACAGGAAGAGAGGTGCATCAATCGATCTCAACAGAAGTCACGAACCAGTTTGGGAACTAGAGCTTTACACCAAAGATGAGATCAACGAGATGATTAGTTTCATGAGTGATTGGCAAGAGGAAGCAATGGGTAAGCTTACCAGCAATCAGGATACATCATACGTGGTTTTGCAAGGAGGAATTACATGATTGACCTTAAGGATGAAAGAGATGGAAGCAGAATTAGCTAGTCTGAAGACACAGCGTTCGCAATCGGTCGATGCCACAAAGGACACATCGATCGATGCTAACAACGAACTAGCACAGGACGAGCCGACAATAGCTCAGATAGCTACATGGGATACCAGGATTGACACGCTAGCTCACCACCTCACCAACAACATCAACTGGTTAAGCATGAGGATTGAGTTGTTACAGCAATATTCTGATGAAATTTTCGTGGAGAAGCTTAAGAAACCTCAATCGATTGATACAGACAGTTGGAAATTGATCGATGTGAGGACACTACCAGAACAAAATATCTATACCAGAGCAGAGGTTGACCAGATTGGTGAGAGGATCTATAAAGCTCTGAACACAACCGAGAATAGGCTTGACAAGAGATGTGATGACATATTCTTCCCTTTCAACAACAACATCACTGGACTACATTCAGAAACAAATTGGTTGCAGAAGGAAGTAAGAACAATTCAGAAAAGACTTGCCTGTCAACCTACGATTACAGCATCGATCGACATTAATAAGGTCCTGTCACTCGATGACATTTCACCTAGAGCGATCGACAATAAACATGTTGTAGCGATCGATTTCGTGTCCATTCCAGAAGGAAATAAGCTGTTAGGAGAACTGACATAACATGTTTATGATAGAGTTCAATGGAACAGCAACAACATTGAGAGTCTTCAAGAGAGACTTCTGAACATTGAAGACACAGTCATCAAGATGGATGCAAGATGGGCCAGAAGTGGTGAAGCCACAAGAAGTTTTATGCCTACTTGGTTCAGCATCAATAGAGAAGTTGTGGATACTTGTTTTCCAACAAGTAGCTTCTTTTCCACACAATAGCTCATCCAGCGCCAACAGTCAAGCTAAATGACTATAACAAAGCGCTGAGTGGGAGGCAACCCACTACTAGGTAAGTTTTATTTTGGTTTTCTTTTCATTTATTTATTATTTTTCGTTTTCACTTTTTGCAGGTTTTTTTTTTAACATTCAAGGAGTAACGAATGACCATCTCGTTGACCGATGCAAGACAGTCGATATCGTTCGACAGATATCCACCAGTGCCAATCGATATAAACTCACACACATCGATCAATTATTTATTCCGGTCATGTTCATTTTTCTTCCTTGTTACATTGAGTACTTATGATTTCTTTTCTTTCGCCATGACTCTGTTTTTATTTACACTGGGACAGTGTAATTTAAGTCTGGGGGGGGGGAGGTTTACTGATGTTTTATTTTCTTTGAGTCTTATAAAAATTTGTTTTCAAAACTATCTTTTATTAAGCTCAAGAAAAGGAATAATGATCGTATTTGATTTATACTTGTTATCTAACCACGTTTTCGCATCATTCTAGATTTTATGATTACAAACAGTACTAAAGATGCTAAAGTGGATCAACCAATCAACTATTCGCACTTTCATAGATTGTTTGAAGGAACCAAAACTACCTCCAACACTAAACCTGAGACAACTGCTTGTCTTGGGGCTTTGTATACATGGGATCGGATTCTTCAAGCAAGTCTGGAAGGTAAAGCCTTGTGTAGATTTGTCACATTTTCTCTCTCCATTTTTGATCCTAGATAGTCTAGTAGATTATTTTTCTTTTTAAAAAAACGAAAATATTACTAAGTTTATTAGGTTTTTAGTTAGGAGGAATAAGAATAGGACTTGGTGGCTACAACCATTAAGGCTTACTTCAATTATGATTCCAATAAAGAATTCGAATGGGACTTGGTGGCAAAAAGCATTAAGGCTCACTTCATATGAACTCTTGGATATATGTCAAAAAGAAGTGATCAGGACTTGGTGGCTAGGCTTGTTTCATGGAAGCATGTCCAATCTTGATCAATAATCTTGCCTTAGAAGCAGATTTTGACTCAAGAGAGAACTTAGATGAGAGAAAATATAGGAACTAACTTTTACCTGCAGATCCAGATACTTGTTTGAGGTTCTTTGCATCATGTGATCGATACTCCCAAGGTAAAGCCTGCACTTTTATTTTATGTTAAGAAATGAGGTGAGCTGAGGGAAGTGTCAGATAGTATTTGCTAAGTTGTTGGTTAGATGAACCATGTTGCTAAGCTAGGATATTGCATAATGAACTTATGTGATTAGAATGTCTTAGATGTGGATTGCAGTATTATAGATGTCATGATTTCAAAGTTTCTAAATCTGTGAGTCCCTATTCTTTTCAAACCTATTTCAGAGATATTGTCTGTTTGTTTTGCTTGAGGACAAGCAAAAAGGTAAGTCTGGGGGAGTTGATATACCATGATTTTGACCTATTTTTAGTTATGGTATACTGGTGTCTTTACTACTATTTATTATACTATAGAAGCTTTTAAGCATATTTATGAGTTCAAGAGTATTTTGGAAGAAAGTGATGTTTTTGGAGCATTTTGGAGAAAACTGGAAGAAGCGTTCGATTTGGAATCGTTCACGAGGTCGACACAGAGCGACTCGGATCGATCGACATGCACCTTGCATGATCGTTCAATTATCAAGACATAGAAACCAATTTGCGAGACAAGTTGACTTGAAGCCCAATCATCACCAAATGACGATTTTACCCCTGACGAGTTTTAACCTAAGTTTATATACTCTGCCAAAGTGTTAGAGGCAGAGAGAGAGAGATTTTGTATTCTTTTCACAGTAAAGAGATTTTGGGTTTATAGTTTGGAGAGAAGATCATCAGAGAGATTTGTGATTGGAACTCCAGTGTTTTCTACCTATCTATTTATCTATAATATGCAGTTTTATTTATCTATTTGTGTTATGAACTGCTTAGATATGTCTGAGTAGTTTGCTTGTTAGATTTAAAGTTTAAATAGGTTAGAGGGCTTAGCCCCAACTATAGGATTGCTCGTTGTGGTACTCATTAATAGGATGTTTTAGATGCTCATGGTTCTAGAGTAGCTAACTAGAAACATTGAATCGTGGATTACTTAGGTTGGATTAGAGACATTTAAGCAATTCTGATAATCCTGAACACATCCCTATTAAGCTAGGATTGTTAGAACTATAGCAATAGTTTGATCTAGAAGTCTTTTGTGAGTTGATGTTAACTTGCATATAATGCTTGACCGACTCATTGATCGATATTTCGACAGGAAATCACTCGATGATGATTTTAGTGTATTGATCGACGTTCCTACTGAATAATAGTTCGACATTGTCTAGTACGACCAATCGGTCATTAGACTTATTTATTCAAATGATAGTTTAATGAATTTGTTAATTAAGATAGTTAATGCTCTATAGTACCTTGTATGCAACTGAATAGCTCTTATGTGATTATAATCCCAATACCTGAATAAAAACCTTAAGTCTAGCACTTTTCCATTTTAGTTTCAAGAATCTTTATTTCTATTTTCAATTAAGTATTTGTCTTGCTTGATCAGAATATTTCATGTTTACTTATTTACTCGTTTTACTATTTATTTTCACATAGATTATTATTACACTAGATTTATTAGATTCCCTATCTCCTTGTAGATTCGATACCCTAAATACTACAATAGATCTCTTATTTGAGAGAGTAAGTTGTTCCTTATGATAAACCTTTGAGCAGACATCAACGTATTTCTCTTACTTGTTTACAATTTTCTGTCCACTTTTTTTTTATATTCATGTATTTTTTGTATAGTTGTTAAAATATATATATATATATATATATCAAAATAGATAATACTGTAGTGATTATTTTTGCTTTATATATCTTAAACTTTCCATAAGAACTTTAAGAAAAAACAAATAAAATCTTTGAGTAAAAACTATTAAAATGTTGACGGTGGAAACTAACCCCTAACTAAAAAAACATGCTAACTATTCTGGCTCCTGCCTAAAGTGAATAAAACAAATATAATTACCTCCCACAGATTGTGCTTTAGTGTGCCAAAAAGACGTAAAATATCTTAAAACAAAACAATGTGGTTGCAAAAGATACATTTACATCACGATTTAAGAAAAATGCATATATACTGACATAGCAACTGAAGCTAGCCATAGAAGTAGATAATTCTATATTATATTTTTATTGAACAGATTCTTTCGTCAACTCTATTTTTAAAATAAGTTTTATTAATAAACCTAAAGCCTTGATATTAGTTTTTAACAAAAAAATTTTAAAAACATGATGATCCCAAGATATCCAATTTCTAAAGGATACAGATGCGAGCCTACCTGCTTTACAGCAACCCGAAATCAAAATATCTCACTACATTTTATCATGTGGTCAGGAAAATATGAATTCATTGCTTATAATCTATTTGACTATTTTAAAAGAAAGTCCATCATCAAAGGAAGCATCTCTCCTGGCCTAAATACCCTAAGTTAATCAAAAAGAAAATTGTCCATGAAAAAAAAAAAAAAGGAAACACGATTTGTGTGTTTCAGTTCCGCATTTGTTGCTTCACGAGACCAACGATCATCCAAGCCTCACATCGAATCTGTAAGCTTAAATATTCGACTAAGACTTATTCTACCTTGAAGCAAAAAATCAAGACTACTGTAATCTTATTGCTAATATCCGATTTCGAAACATGGCAGAAGAAGTTTCATTATTAGCTTCTCCTTCTGAGTCATCTACTTCACTTCTGTCTGAAATATCAAATGCATCCACCAGAGCTTTTGTTCTTGCCTTCACTGTCGGTTCTTGCGGCGCCTTTGCCTTTGGATGCATCGTGCGTTCTTCTTAAGCTCGATTTTTCTTCTTCTTAATTTTCTGTTAATTTTGGATTCATGCATGAGAGTTAATTAAATTTATTGATTTCAGATCGGATATTCAGCTCCTACACAGTCCAGTATTATGAAAGACTTGAATCTCTCCATAGCTGATGCAAGTTCACTTTTGTGTATTTTGTTTTTTTTTTTTCTGGATATCTCTCCGGATTGATTTTGGTTCATCTAATTTTCAAGTATTATTTTGTCCATTTTGTTCTCAGTACTCACTTTTTGGATCGATATTGACCGTGGGACTAATTCTTGGTGCGTTAATCTGTGGGAAATTAACAGATTTTGTTGGTCGTGTCTACGTAAGTTTCCACTTGACAACAAATAATTAGTTCTTATTTACAAATTGTATTTCATTATTATAACAAACTGAATTTGATCATAGACATTTTCGAATATGATAACCTTCTGTGGTTCTTTTTGAACCAGACTATATGGATCACTAACATTCTCTTCGTAATCGGCTGGTTTGCTATTGCATTTGCCAAGGTTTTTCCTATTTTCTAGATTTCTTCTTTATTTAACAGTGTTGAACTTCAATAAATGAGAAGCTCACTTTCAAGTCGATAAATGATTTTGATTTTTTCAAGTATCTTATCATTATTTTTTTGTTTAATATTTTGAGAAAAGGCTGTTTGGCTGCTCGATCTTGGAAGGTTGTTGCAAGGGATCTCGATCGGAATTAGCGCATATTTGGTATCTATAGATACTTAACACTTTCTATTTAATTTTGTTTTACGTTATGTACTGATTTTATTTTATATAGATTTGGACATATTTTGCTTGCAAAATGTAACTTTTTTAGAGTTTTTTTTTTAATTTGGTATATTCAAAATGTTCTATAAACTTTTAAGAGGAATTTGAATTTATAGAAAATGAGATTAAATATTTTGATATATATGTATTTTAGGTTCTTTTTATTTATTTTCTCAAAAGTGTTTTATGTCCTTTTGGTGTAAGTTTTTTTTTGTGATAAATCATATAATCTGGTAGCTATTTATCAATCGTAGGGACCAGTTTACATTACCGAAATAGCACCAAGAAAATTGCGAGGAGTTGCTTGTTCCATGTCGCAGGTAGATCAAAACAACCGATGTCCTGAAAAGTATTATAAGAATGTAGTGTTCCTCATTTGGATATATTAAAAAAAAATTGTGTTCCTCCGACACAATTTTCTTATACCTTCTACAGTTATTTACGGGCGTTGGTACATCCGTCGTTTATGTACTTGGAACAGTCGTTGCTTGGCGCAAACTAGCCATTTTGGGTATGTAAATGAGATCATTTCTCATCAAATGTAAAAACAATCAACTTTCTCTTTTTCCTTAGTGGACCAAAACATAATAATTGTACTGACGGTTTTGTGTTTTTTGGCTTTGGACAGGTTCTATACCTTCTCTTATGATTCTGCCTCTTCTTTTTTTCATCCCCGAGTCTCCTAGATGGCTAGTACGCATTTAGTCATGTTTTTCATTTATGCTTATTTTTACATGTTAGATTATCGGTACTACTTCCAAAAGACAACATTAAATTAGTGTTTCTGTCGAGTGTCCTATATACTGAACAAAATAACATTGAAAATATGTTTTGTAGGCTAAAGTTGGGAGAGATAAGGAGGTTGAGCAGATTTTGTTAAGATTGCGAGGGGCAAATTCTGATGTATCAGATGAAGCAGGAGAGATATTAGTAAGGATCTATATGTATGAATAAGCATATGATTTATGTTTTTTCTTATAGTAGTTCCCCAATATTTTGATGATCATCAGGCATATACAGAACATGTTAAACAACAAGGAGACAATCGCGGCTTCCTCAAGTTGTTTCAGCGAAAATACGCATTCTCACTTACTGTAACTACTCTCAAGACATTGTTCTTCTGCTTCTTCTTCTTTCTTGATTTAACAAGCTATTTGGTTTACACAGATTGGAGTTGTTCTTATAGCTTTGCCTCAACTTGGAGGTCTTAGTGGTTATTCTTTTTACACTGACTCCATTTTCATCTCTACCGGTAAAATAACTCTTCTTCTTCAATGAATTTTGATCTCTATTTATTTATTTACCTTAAATGATGATTGTCCATAATTATCTGAGGATCAGGTGTGTCGAGTGACGTTGGATTCATATCAACATCTATAGTTCAGGTTCTTCTGACATCGAGTGACCTTGATTAGAATTCCTAAGTATATATATATATATATTCTTATACCGATCATTTTATATACACATTATTGTAGATGCTTGCAGGAATTCTAGGTACTGTGCTTGTGGATGTATCTGGAAGACGTTCACTCCTACTGGTAAAATAACCTAAATGATAGGTTAGTTTATTCAGTTTTTTGGAGAAACTTTTTAGGAGAATTTTTCGAGTGATTGTCTAGGTTTCTCAAGCTGGAATGTTCTTGGGTTGTCTTGCTACGGCCATTTCATTCTTCTTGAAGGCATGCTCCCCGTTCCATCTACTCTACGAACCCTGTTTTTGGTTTAACTTTTTCTTTTGTTTCTTATTGTGCAGGAGAACCATTGCTGGGAAACAGGAACACCTATATTGGCTCTGATTAGTGTTACGGTAAAAAAATAAATGAGATCACTGAGATTAAAAAGTTCAAAAGAAATAGATCGAATCATTTTACATAAAATAAATATAAACAGTTTTGTTGTAAAATATCCTTTTCTGTTTGAATTTTAGGGCTGTATATAGATTTAAATTTTAGGATGGTTCAAAAACAAAAGATTTAACTTTTAGGAGTTAGTTTTCACAACTTGGGGTTTTAAATTTAAAATATTTTGAAAAATATTATTGACTATTACCCTAGTTTTAATATAAATTTGTGCTACATTCATAATTCTGCCGTCATAAATATGATTTGCGTCTTTATTGAAATATAGTTGTACTTTGGATCATACGGATTAGGCATGGGATCAATACCATCGATCATAGCATCGGAGGTAATATCATAGAAATGTTTTTAAATATGTAAAATGATAAGTTCATTATAGTTAACTTTGTATGTTATAGATTTATCCCGTAGATGTGAAGGGGGCAGCGGGAACAATGTGTGGCTTGGTCAGCTCTATAAGCTCATGGCTCGTTGCTTACTCCTTCAGTTTCTTGTTTCAGTGGAGTACCACAGGTAATCTTTAATATTATATAATTAAATAATATCAGTAAATAAACTATCTTTTGTAACAAAAAAACTATCTTTTAACAACTAATAGTTTCTGAACTGGTAAAGAATTGGGACGAGATCTATCAAGTGTATCAAGACCTCATATGTATGTGTGTGTGTGTTTAGCATATATTTTGCTTTGGTATCAATAAAAATGTTTTAGCACAAAAAAACTATTAGATTTTGAAGATAAAATAGCTATTAAGTTGTAAATCTATTCAATTTCAGGAACATTTCTGATGTTTACCACTGTGACTGGCATTGGATTTGTGTTCATAGCTAAGCTTGTTCCAGAGACTAAAGGAAAATCTTTAGAAGAGATCCAATCCCTTTTCAGTTTTTAGTGACTCTTCTTATGAAGATTCGACAATATCAACAAACTTTTTCCCCAAAATATAAAATTATGGGTGTTTTATTTAATAGCAGTCGATCGAAACAATGGAAACGCTTTACCATTTTGTATCTATACTATTAAATTAGGAACATGATCTATTCATATAGGTTCACTCCAAGTATTAATTTCATTTATTTAAAGATAAAGCAACGTAACTGTTTGCTCCTATTACAACTAATATGATACATTTTCGTTTGATCATGGATACACTTCGTTTTCATATATTTATTGACTTTTACTATAATTAATGTAATGGTTTCTTATCAATACGAAAGTCACCACTAATATAAGCTATAACCATTTGATATTAAAGTGGGTGGGGTCACCACTAATATAAGCTATAACCATTTGATATTAAAGTGGGTGTGATGATATTGAAATTTGGTAACTAGATGATTTTACGAATTAATCATAAAACTAAAAAATAATTGGGCCATTTTATATGTTTAGAAATATTTAATGGAAAATATAATTGTTAAATATACAATCTTGCTCAAGTAAAAATTTCAAATATAATCATTATTTAACTTATTTATAAACATAAAATGATTTTCTGAGATATTATAATTACAAGAATTTGTGAAATTAGCTACCGATTATTTTGTTGCTATCAGACACAATCTATACCTAAAATCAAGCTAGCGACATATAGCAACAGATCATTTCCTTGGTCTCAAAAGATAGCAACAGATCATTTCCTTGGTCTCAGAGCCGACGCTATCTTCGTTCTGTAGCCAATTTGTAGCCAACTAGCGACGGATTAGTGAGAGTGATTTCTGTAGCCAATAGCAACAAAATAGCTATAACTTTTTTCTTTGCTAGTTAGTGACAATTTTAGCAACAGATTTTTTGTTGATAGTGGCTACCAATTTTAACAACAACTAGATTTTGACATGTGCTTTCCAAACGCAGAATTTTTTTATGATTAAAAATTTATATAAATGATCTTTTTCTTTATTTAAAGTATATGTTTTGGTATAAAATCAGTAAATTTGTGGTTATGATTGTTTTGCATTAATTTTTAGTTTCTATTTTTTTATTTTTAGATTTGGTTTTAGATTTTGGTTTTTAGTTTTTAAGTTTCTACTTTTTATTTTCAACTTTTGGTTATGGTTTTTAGTTTTTTGATCCGATGAGTTAGTTTGGAATTAATAGTACCAACAAACAAATCCAAAATAATCGAACATCTAATTTAAAATTAAAAAGATGACAATTTTTTTTTTAAAAAAAAATTGCAATAGTTCATTTTGTAAATTAACAAAAGTAAAAAATAAAACCTGCATTTTTTGTTTTGTTTTACATTCATTTTATTTTTTAAAAATATTTAGTAAATTATTTAATAAAAATAAAACAATAAATTATTTATAGTTACCATTAAAATTTATTAAAACATAATAATTTTTATTTGAAATAAAAAAAATACATTAACAGTTTTATAATACATAAGTGCTTAATAATGGAAAATTTTTGTTAAAATATTAAACAATTTTAGATCTAAAAATAGTGACTGGCCACACCATACTATATAATTTGTCATAAAAATAAAATTTTTATTTATTTTTGGTGTGCAACGTGCGGGTGGTGCGGGTAGGGCTGGGCACTAATACTTGTTACTCGTCAATACTTACTACTTGCTTCGTACTCGGTTTGAAAAATCAAGTACTTGGCGTTTTCAAGACAAGTAACAAGTATGTAAATCATATTACTTGCAAGTACAAGTCAAGTATCAAGTATCACAAATTTTTGTAATACTCGGCTTGTTACTTGTTTGATTACTTAATATTAATTCTAAAAATCTGTTACTTATTTGATTACTTAATATTAATTCTAAAAATTTGTACTATCTCTTAATATATTTTTTTTACTACTGTTCTTGTAATAAATTTATTTATTTATTTTTTGCTTTTTAGGTATTTAATGTAATATATACTTATATTCAATGAATTATATATACACACACTAAATCAAATAACTTGAATAAATTAAGTAAAAAAACAAACTATATGAAAAAAAACATATATATTCCACGTTAACCAAAACTTATATGTTGTGGTATATTTAATTTCAAAATTTTAAAGCTAAATAAACAAGTATCAAGTATTAACAAGTAATTTGCAAGTATTTAAAATATAGGCAAGTACTTGAATAGTTAAGTATTTGAACGAATCAAGTATAAGTATAAGTAAAAAAATTTAGTACTTGTACAAAGCAAGTCAAGTAGCAGGTAGGACAAAAACCATAAGTACCCGGCTTGCGCCCAGACCTAGGTGCGGGTGCGTGGAAGCGTATGGAAGCACTTCCAGTGCACGTCAAGCCAGTTTAGATTTGATATCTACTCTATTAGTTGATGATATCTTTCTAATTTTTTATAGATAAGGATTGTTTATGAAATTAGGATATACGATTTTGAAATTGAAATACATGTAATTTCTATTTTATTATGTATTTAAAAAAATGGCAACTTATATTCTTAAGTTTGGTACTTACGAAATTATGTGCTTGAAGTATATAGATTAATGAAGTATATTTAACTACATATTGTGTGTATAATGGCAGGTATCTCTAAGTATAAGAAATCATCAATCAAGTTTGACAAAATTAACATATTACACGAAAATGAGGTGAAAAAAGATATCATATCTAATATCTATATACTAAAGTAAAGATGAACCAAACACATACATGTTCTTCGTGTGATGATTTAATGTCGATGAGTAATTATAAATCAACTAAGATCAAGGTTTCATCTTTAGTAAAAGAGGTCTAAATCAGAGTAATTGTATTGGTAATATAATTTTATATATATAGTCCGTCTACATTAATAGTACTTGATATATAGTGTAGTTCGTTTGTTAGAATTCCTACGTGGTTTAATCTAATTGTATATAAATGTTGGTCTAGCTTTAAACTAAATTGTGTCACTATATTGGTTTAAATGAAATTCACCGGTTTGATCTGTAAAAGCAGCGTGTCATACAAAAATTATATTGTAACAATGTTGATATGGTCCTTAAATTTAGCAGCTATCTAACAAATCTTAAAGGGTCCAACATTAAAAGACAATTTTTATTATAGATAAATTTATGACCCTGTTTCAATAGATTATACTAGATTTTGATCCGCCCTTGAAAGGGCGGATATATTTTTTTGTTTTAATTTTGTTTTAAAATTTAATTTTGGTATTTATGCTTTTTACAATCATATTTTTGCAATCATGATCTATTGATATAGGTTTGGTCCATCAATATTTTCTAAATGATTAATAAGAGATTTTAATAAATTGTATTAAAATAGATGGACCATATATTAATAGGTCATGAGTGCAAAACTATGATTGAAAAAAAAACACACACAAATACCAAAACTAAATTCTCAAAAAAAAATTAAAATAAAAAAAAATTATCCACCCATTTTGAATCTAGTCATTTTTAAAACTTTATTCTTAATATTTACAATATATTATATTTTATTAGTTACCTAACCTAATTAATTAAGAACATTTGTACCCTACAAATCCGACTCGGAATCGAATAAAAAAAATCAAAGACTTATACTCTAATTCTATTAGATATGTCCTATATACTCGAACAGTTTTTAAAATATTACATCTGAGAACTAATATCAATCCAACCCGCACAGAATAAAATTTTTTTTTTTTTTTTGATAATTTGAATTTTTAATATATTCTGTTAAATATAATATATATATATATATATATATAAATGGATTAATACGATCTCCACTAACTTTAAGTAAAATGACATTTATTAAATATTTTTTAATTAAATAATCTAGTTAAAATCTGTTAGACTAAATTAGTTTATATCAATATTCTTTCTATTAAAAGTCTATTTAAACTATATTTTAACATTATGTGCTTTGTTAATTGATATACTTAAAGTATATGTAAAATGTTTATAATTTGATTGAATTAATGTCTGGTTGAATAAATTCCAATTTCTTGGGCTGGAATGTAAGTTATGTTGGTGTAGTGTGATAATTTTTTTTGAAAACGTTGGTGTTCAATAATATTGTTGCTAAAAATATATGTTAAATATGATTACAAAACTTAAGTTGAAACTATTTTATATCAATGTAAACAGATTTAAATCATACATGGACAAATGGACAGATTTGAATAAAATAATATAAATTAAAATCAGCTTTAAATATTTTAATATATGTACTGTTAGGTTCGTGTAAAAACTGTCAAAAAGCAAACAACAGTTTTAATATAATTAGGGTTGATTTAAGAAATATATATAGTTATTATATTGCCCATTAAGCTAAGAGATAGGAAGTTGCAGCATTTCTGACGGGAGTTACTTTTTCTAACTTAAAACCATAATTACTAATGTAGTTACAAAAAATAAGGAGTTATATTTCAATTTTGAAAGAAGAAAACATAGAAATAATTAATTGGACTCAACAAATATCAATAGGCCATGTTCCAAATTTAATATTATTGACTAGATTTTGACCCGCACTTTCAAATGGCGGGTATATCTTGTATTTTAGTTTTTCAAAAAAATTAATTTTTATATTTATGTTATTTTTAATTATATTTATGTTTAATATTAATTTAATTTAATTTAATTTTTGGTAACTATATTAAATATTTCAAGTCTCATATTCTAATTAGTTAAGAATATTTGTATCCAAAAAAATCCGACTCGGAATCGACACGAAATCAATCCGAAAATCAAAGTCTCATACTCTAACGATCTGGCCAATATGCTCGAACGATTCTTAAAGTGTTATATCCGAAAACTCAACTCGTACCAAAAATTGATCAAAATTATTGAAAAATGTTTGAATTCTTTTAATATATTCTGTTAAATATATATATATATATATAAATAATATGTATGTTTTCAATAACTTTTAATAAAATCACCTTTATTATTTTCTTAGTCGGATAACTTATTTAAAATCCGTTAAACTAAAACCCGTAGAATATATTAAAATAAATAATACGTCCTTCCGATTCTGACCCACCCGTTCTTTGAAAGGATATTATGTAGACCAAAATAATTAGGATATATCCTCTCTTTGGTTAAATAACATTCACACTAATCAATACACATTAAAATATACTCAGAATTTAAATTAGATATTGGCATATAATTACGTACCAAATAGAATATGGTTACGTTATATATC